GGCACAAGTTTGAGGGTCATGCTGGTAAATAACAGGTAAGTGATCAAACTTACAGAGAATGATCTAAAAGTTGCAGCCGAGCTTATTAATATGTATGTTGTAAACAAGTGATACCAGGTGAGCACAAATATAAAAACAATGGGGGTTAAAGAAATGTATTTTATTATTTAATGATTTATAATTTTTTGCAGACACGGCTGAGCGACATAAAAATGAAACTTGAAAATGTGACGAAGCTAGAAAATGAAATCAAAGCTCTGGACAGCTTGAGGAAACAGATGGAGGAGCACAACAAGGAGCTGGAGGAAACTATGGAAGAGGTAACACAATGTGTGAAAAATGTCTGAACAAATATGAGATGTTTTACTTTTTAGTTACAAAACTTCGAAGGATACTGCACTTTGGATGAAGTTTCATGATCTTGAAAGAGAAACTAATCGATCAAAGATTCATTCGTTTGAGATCTTTGTGATTTTCTGTCAGGTCCAAAATCTTTGCTCAGTGCCTGATCTACTCGTTGTTTTTTCTTCCCTGTGACTTCCTCCACCTCCTGAAAGGGAAAATAAGCTGACACAACGGAAGAGATCCAAAATACATGACAGAGCCATAGAGGATAACAAGATTTCCAGGGATCAACCTAAAAAGCAGTCATGCTTATTTTAGTTTGGTTTTTGTGCACCTTTGTGGGATCAGTCTTAAACAAGAATGACCAAATTTAAATTAAGTTAGGTTTCTGAAGCTCCAAGGGCCATTTCTGGAAGTTCTTGATCACTTCTTTGACATTTTCATCACTGGAGTTTCCACTGGAGTCAGACCTCAAGACCCATTCATTTAACTGTAGAACAATTCCAATCCATTGACCTTTGTCTGTGTGTTTCAGGTGTTTCAGGATTCAGATGAGCAGCTACAGCATACTTACGAGAACCACCAGAGGACAGTGAGGGAGAAAGAGCAGAAGCTGCAACAGCACCAGGAGGAGCTGCAGACCTTTGACCAAGAATACCAGAGATTGACCAGAGAAACGAATGATCTGCTGGTAGAAAAAGGTTCACTCACCTGCATATACTAGAGTAGCTCCTGACATTTTTCTCCACACCTATGAAAAGTAGGAGTGGGTTTTGATTATCGATTTTCCGATTAAAATCAATTCTAGCTTGAATAACGCGATGTCGATTCATTAAAATCCTGAATCAATTTTTATATATACATTTATTTTGCCCGAAACGCTAAAACAGTAAATGAGAGCAGATACACGGATTCTGCACAAAGATGTAAACACAAAGCGTAGACCCGCTGACGCTTCAGAATCTGTGAGATGCCCGCTTTCTCACTGACGGCACGTACACGGACACGCCATTGGATGAGAAAGCGGACATCTCACAGATTCTGATGCGTTGGCGGGTCCACGCTTTGTTTCCATCTTTTTTTGCGCTAGATTTTGAAGCTGCAGATTTTGTCTCTCTCCAACCAAATTTGACTGAACCAGCAGCAAAAGAAGATCCAAATTATGCTTCACATTTTGCTTTACATAAACATCATCATGAATTCCCTCTTGCTGTTTTGCTTCCACCACGATAAAATGACACTTCATGCACAGCTCTCTCTCTCTCTCCCTCTCAGGTATAGTTTCCCATCTAAAAATCTCTGTTTTCTGGTCTCATAGCTGCTGATTCTTGTCTGTGTACAATATTTACCATACTGCATGAAAAACTCTGTAGTGGGTCAGTTTAAGCAAAAGGTTTCCACTGAAATTGAGCCTTTACGATGTTAACCATGAACTAACCATGAACTGGTGAAGAGCCCTGAGAGCAA